TAATCTATGGTGAGTATTGAACCTCTGGGGTAAATAATCCTACCTAGTAGATCAGAAATGCTTAATTATTTCAAAATTGAGTGTTTTTCCTACCTGCTATGAGTTCACATTTCTTTGCATTGAATTCACGCAGCTGCTGCATCTCTGGAAATCTTTATTTTCGCTGAGCACTTCAGCAGAGTCTTGATATATCTCTTGCACTCCAAGTTTCTGTGAACTCCTTGATGAAGACTGGATGCACAGGGCTAGTTCCATTGATTAAGGTCTGGTTTCTTCTTTTGTGTTTGATCTGGAAGTGCTTAGTTTCCATCTGTCTGTCATCCTAGAACAGTGTCCAGTGCCAGCCTATGGGGTATCTCCTGGGCAGAAAGGTTATGTCCCTTGGCATGAATTACATTCAGCAGCTGAACAAACAGGGCTGCTTGGTGATGGGCTTTTATGCAGAGGAAACCAGATAGCCATTTTGGTGATAAAATATTTATTCCCTATTATCTTCTTGTTGCCACAACTACTGCATATAGCATATACCTTTAAAAAAACTAGTATGCTGAAGAGGTTACATTTTCCTGTTTACTTTGAAATTTTTATTGACCAAAATTGAGTATGGTTTGTCTTGAAGTGTTGATTAAGATCACATGTCATGTTTTCAGCCAAGGTGTTTCCCTTTTTTTAACTATTGCTTTCCTCTAAGGTACCATATTGCATTTTGTAGCTTAAGTAAGCAAACCCAAAGATGTAGTTATTTTTAAGGCAGTGAAGTGAATTAATCAGTGTGAATTCATGTTAGCTCTCAGAAAAACCTAACTTCTCGAAATGAATCTTTTGGAATAACTTAACTTTATTTAATTTAACATGCTTCTATTTTAACTACTTATAAAGTACTGACTGAGGCCAATGGCGATCCAAAAAGGTTTGACAGTATCAACAAGCTCTCTGTGTAATGGGGTTTACTAGCACACAGCATAGTAATTCCACACCAAAGCAATCACTTAACACTGTGTTAGGAGGTCAGAGGATGAGAGTAATGTGGAAGAGAACGAGCTTCATTCTGACAGGATTTACAAGAAGGCTTCAAAGCATCTGAATCTGCTACACAAAGTCAGACTTTGAAGTTTAACAAATGCAGGTCGCACTTACTGAGTGTTTAATAAGTATCAGCACTGGTCAAAATGCTGTAATCATATTGACTCATTTAATTCTTATGATTAACCTTACAAATTGTTTTATTACTTTCCTTCTTTCCTTCCTAGTTTCCTTCCTTCCTTTACGTTTTATCTTCTTATTGAGATTTGAACTCAAAACATTTGTTTTTCAGATACGATCTCATATTTTTTCCTTGGGCCACCTTCAGACCAGGCTCCATCTAATTTTACTTCCCACATAGCTGGAATGACAGGCATGTGCCATCTCCCCTGGCACAATTCCCATTTAATAGCTGCACAATGGGATATAAGACAGTTAACAATTCAGTAAGGGTCATAGAGCAGTGAGTAATGTACTTAGGATTCAGACTCCAGGAGTCTGGCATTGGATTGCTCATTTTAAAAATAACACTACCCTTCTTCCTGTCAGTGATAAATAAGATGTCCTCAAGCACCTTCAACAGTGGGAGCAGCTCAGCTGCAATCATGGAGAAGAGGAAATCATGAATGTTTGAAAAACCCAGTCAATTAGTGTGGATGAGTTCAGGATAGGAGAAAAAGTGGTACTAAGGAATCATAGTACACAAGATAAATAAAATACAATACAGACTGGATGGTAGAGGGTTTGGATCACTGACCTGAAGAATCACCAAGCAAGCACTGATTTTTGTTGTTGGTGATGGTGGTCATGGAGATTCAACTCTGGGCTTGGGTGCTATCCCTGTGCTATTCAGCTCAAGGTGAGTGCTCTACCACTTGAGCCACAGTGCCACTTCTGGTTTTCTAGTGGTTATTAGAGATAAGAGTCTCAGGGACTTTCCTGTCCGGGCTGGCCTTGAACTGTGATCCTCAGATCTCAGCCTCCTGTGTAGCTAGGATTACAAGCGTAAGCCACCGGAACCTGGTGTTTTTTTTGTTTTGGGGTTTTTTTTTGGTTGTGGGGCTTGAACTCTGGGCCTGGGTGTTGTCCCTGCACTCTTCAGCTCAAGGCAAATGCTCTGCCACATAAGCCACAGTGTCACTTTCAGCTTTCTAGTGGTTAATTGGAAATAAAAATCTCCTGCCCAGGCTGCCTTTTGAACCATGATCCTCAGATCTCAGCCTCCTAGTAGCTAGGATTACAGGCGTGAGCCACCAGTGCCCGGCAAGTGGTGAAATTTTTGTTACAACAATACCTTGAAGAGAGAGTATTGTGTAAGAGGAAGGGACAGGAACATTTAAGGATCTATTACTTAATATAATTGCTCAAAATTATTTGTTGGGCTTCTCTTATGGGACAAACACGTATTCTGAATGTTGAGGATATAGCAAAGAACAAGATAAAAGTCTCTACCCTCATTAAGCAGAAAAAAGACAATATATAAGTAACAAGTTATATTAAGAAAGTTGATTTTTACAAGGTTCTGAAAGAAATAAGGAGATATGATGTGCTGTGTCACAGAGTGACCCTGAGTCAAAGGGGTAACCCTTCACAATGCCTGCTAGGGAAGGTCACTCTAAGTAAGGGACATTTAAGCCTCAATGTCAGAGGAGCCATATTGGATATATGTCAGACAAGGGTTCAGCAAAATGGGGCTTGAGTTATTAAGAAGAATATTCCAGAGTGATAGGGAAGGGATGATATTGTCAGAAAAGAAATGTTTATCTTACCTGACTTTTGTAACTGTTACCCCTCTGTTCATCATCTTTATAATAACAATTTTAAAAAATTAGAAAAAAAGGAAGTATATTCCAGGTGAGTTAACTAATGCCAAGACTTGGAAGAGAACTTGGAGGGCTCATGGGAGGAATGAGATGCCAGGAAGAATGAGAGATGTAGGTAAAAACTGAAGAGAATGCAACCCATGGTTGTGGATGGAGGGATAAGGTTTTTGTTAAGAGGATGCACTATTTGTATTTTATTCCAAATGAACTAGGAAGTAACTGGAGGGTCCTCAACTTACTTTATGTTTTCAAAATATCAGTCTGGGTAACAGGTAGAGGATAGATTATAATAGAGACAGAAATGAACAGGGAGGCCAATTAGAAGACCAAGAGATTCAGAGATGAAAGAGATTGGGTAGCCTTAACTTTGAAAGAGGAACAAGATGGATGAATTAGGATTTTATTTTGGAGGCAGAGCTAAAAAGATGAGCTAAGTGACAGATAATGAGAGAAAAAAAGGTACCAAGGATGAGACCAAAAATTCATTTATACAGGACAGGTGACTGAAACAGAGAGAATTGACTTGAGGGCTGGCAGTATTAAGAATTCTGCTACACATATAATAAGGCCAGTGTGAAAGTAAGTCAGGTAGCTGCTTTGAACTCAGAAAAAGATGAATGGATACATGAGAGATGACAGACATATAACTGACAGATGTGATCAGATATTAAATGTTGGCTTAAATCCTGGAAGAACCATGCACCAAATCTGTGTACCTAATTTCTTAATTGTTTCAGACTCTGTTTTTTTAACTATAAAATGAGAGAAATTATATCTCAGTAGTAAGATAGTGATAAGATTTAAATGAGATGATTATGTGTAAATGGCTCACATGAAGAAGTTAAGAAGTAAACATCACTCTATCACAGAATTGCCATTATAATAATAGCAATAACCATTAAAATTTTGGGATGTGTTTCATTTATATTAACCATTATAAAAATGATGATGGCCTTGTTCTTAGCTCCTTCTAAGAAAGGACTGGTCAAGATACATTGTACACGTAAATTGCCATGTTGAATTTGTTTTTATTTTTGTTTTTGTCAGTTGTGGGGCTTGAATTCTGGGCCTGGGGACTGCCCCTGAGCTCTTCAGCTCAAGGCCAACACCATTTGAGCTACAGAGCCACTTCCAGTTTTCTGGTAGTTAATTGGAGATAAGAGTCTCACAGACTTTCCTTCCCCGGACTGGCTTTGAACTGCAATCCTCAGATCTCAGCTTCCTAAGTAGGTAGGATGACAGGTGTGAGACACTAGTGCCCGGCTTTGCCATTTTGAGTTTAAACTTGTTTTTACAACTACTTCAAGGTAACAAAAATATTTTTAAAAGGAAAGATTGTTTATGGGCTCTGAATATGGACCCAGATTTACACCCGCTATTTCGTCTTATGTGTATTAAACTATTGAAACAAACTAAATTATTTATGTTGTTTCATATATGCAGAAATAAACTGGGGCTCAGCAGGGGCCATGCTGGTGCTCAGATGATATAGAACCTTTGTAGAGGAAACAGGAAACTCTAGATCTGGCTTACTCCTAATAATTCTGAACTCCATTCCAGCTGGACATTTATAAGATAAAATGACCTTCCTGTCATTTTATCACTTCTCCAGGAACTATGCCAAGTGAATTAATTCTATTATCAGTTGTGGGGCCTGAACTCTGGGCCTGGGTGCTGTCCCTCAGCTCTTCAGCTCAAGGCTGGCGCTCTACCATTTGAGCCACAGTGCCACTTCTGGCTTTTTCTGCTTATGTGGTGCTGAGGAATTGAACCCAGGGCCTCATGCATGCAAGACAAGAACTCTACTAATGAGCATCCTTCTCAGCCCAATTAGTTCTGCTTAAAAACATTCAGTAATCTTGGCACCTATGGTTCACACCTGTAATCTTCAGGAGGCTGAAATCTAAGGATTGCTGTTCAAAGCCATCATGGGCAGAAAATTCCATGATAGTCTTTACCTCCAATTGGCTGGCAAAATGCTGGAAATAGAGGTGTGGGTCAAGTGGCAGAGCTCCAGCCTTAAGTAAAAATGACAATTGAGGCTCTAAGGCCTCAGGTTTAAGCCTCAGTACTGGCACCAAAACAAAAATAAAACAAAAATGAAATACTAGAAAATTAGCACCATGGAAATGTAAAGCTGTGTTTATTTTTCAGTGTTGGATTGTGTCCCTCTCAGAGCTTATCTTTGGAGGAAATGAAGAGAAGTCTCCAGCACTAACCCATTGACAAATATGGTAAATAGACAGATTGACTAGGTTATTAGGAAAGTGGTATCTACTCATTTGATATTAAGGAAGATAGGCAACATTCTCTAATTTCTAGAAATAAAAGATGTTTGAAAAAAATTGTAAATTCTTATCCTCACACCTTTCATAGCCCTACACTTGTCTTTAAGTTTAAAAAAAAGTGTGTTCTTCTGCAGCAGTGTGTGAGGATGTGTGTGTGAACATAGGTATGAGCATGTGATATACTCTCTAAAAACTCTTCTTGTGAAAATCATCTCTGGCCTCTCTTGTCATCCCAAACACTTGGCCATCATCATTGGGTCCATTACCTCTAAGCCCCACATCACAGGTGTGTAGGGAGGAGAAGGCAAACAAGTGATGCATTTCTACAATTATATTACATGATAGGGGACTCTTCATCATTAGCCAAACACCCAAGGATAAAATTTAAACCAAAGCCATCCCCTCAAACAGCTGAAGACAAGGCAAGGGGGGTGCTGATGTGACTCTATTTTTGCACAGGACTCTTCACAATGAATTAACAGAGCACTTTGACATAATTAACCAAGTTCTATGTAGACCTCTGGAAGCCTGGAGGATGGACAGTTGCCTTTATCATCAGCCACCATATTAATGAAATAGGGATGAATGCCCCTTTACAGCCTTTAAGCCTGAGAGGCTCAGTATTTAACTGGAATTTTAGTACAATGGGCACATTTACTCATGGCAACTTTCTTTGACAATATGGATGATAAAAAAAAAAAGCTTGTTAGCTAAAGAGATCACATTTGTTACAAGAGCTGGATTTGAGAAAGAGTAAAGTGGATGACGTGTTCCTGCTTCTCTGATGTGGATAGCAATTGACCCTGGAGACCTGGGATTCTGGGATCCACACCAGTATACTTTGGATGCAGACTTTCTTTACCTAAGGCAACATAAAACTCTGGAGACACAAAGTAACAAAGAGAAGGTGCTCTGGGTAGAGGCAGACAAATTGGTTACATACATTATAACAATCATTTTTACTTTTTACTCTAGATACATGTGAGGATGTGGCTGAGTGCTGTCTAGCCTGGGCTTTACAGTCTATGTCAGGGGAAAATGTGCTGCAAGTGCCATATCATCTTTTTTTTTTTGTCAGTCTTGGGGCTTGAACTCTGGGCCTGGGCACTGTCCATAAGCTCTTCAGCTCAAGGCTAGTGCTTTATCAATTAAGCCACAGCGCCACTTATTGTTTTCTAGTGGTTTATTGGAGATAAGAGTCTCATGGACTTTCCTGCCCAGGTTGCCTTTGAACTGCAGTCCTCAGATCTCAGCCTCCTGAGTAGCTAGGATTATAGGAGTGAGCCACCAGAGCCAGCTTCATCACATTTTAAAATAGGTGGAATATCATTTCCTCAAATCTTTACAGTGGTGACATCACAATTTAGCATACAGGGCCTCCTATGAGATGTGTGTTTTGACCAGGACTCTTGCTTTTTTATGTGGGAAAAAAATCTCAAGATGAAGGTTTCCTTTCATTTAAAATCTGTTTCTTAAAGAATTAAAGAGTTAGACTTCTGAGAGTTCTCCAGAGAAAGCGAAACCAAAAGTAAATCATATATAAAAGTTATATTTTTTCCCTATGAACCTTTATACCCAAGGAAGGTGAAAATCATGAATTGGGCACTGGTGGCTCATGCCTATAATCTTGGCTATATAAGAGGCTATGATTGTTGTGATCAAGGTTCAAGTCAGTCCAGAGAGAAAAAGTTCTTAAGACTCGTTTCCCAGTGAAGATCTGGATTCCATCTCATACGTTGGTTATACTGGCTACCAGGAAGCCTATATTGCCTATATCAGAAGGGAGACTCTAGAGCAAAAATAATGAATAAAAAAATCAAGTCTGGAGGTATGGTTCAGCAGTACGAGTGTCTGTGAGCCCCTGGGGTTCAAACCCCACTACTATAAAAAAGGAAATAAAAATACGAGGGTATTTGCATGAAGTAAGAATTCCTGCTGATAAGTCAGATGTATTTAAAGCTTTCCAGCAGGGCTATTTTATCACAGAAAAAACCACTTTAATTAGTCTTTCTTTTCATTTCATAAACCAGTTTTAGCATAACAGCAACCTATGAGCTATTTGTTGTTATTTACGTTTTAAAATTTTCACACCTCAGGACAGAGGTAGAGAATGAAAAAAAACTAAATGTAGTTCTTATCCTCATTTGACATCCTTTATTCCAATCTATCAATCTTTTCCTGAAACTTACATTGAAATTTCAGTTTAGTCCCTCTTAAGATAAGTAACTACTCAAAACCAACACATCTGCTTTTATACTCTGGTGCCAAAGACATTACTATTAAATGCTAGCCCCAGCACCATACTTACATTATTTCCCTTCCTCAACTGAGAGCTCAACCACATTGGTGATAAGACATTTGTTCACAAACACATTTTCAATGGAGTTACATGGGGCAGGAAACAATGGACCATCATGGGCCAGTAATATGGTATGACATATTAGAAGGCAATTATGGTAATGAAAGGGTTCCCAGCTTATTGGAGTATCCACATATGCCTGGAATGAAGTTGTATGTCCAGCTGGACAAAAGCAAATACTTTTGCACTAAGATATAGATTTTGTCTTAGTTCCTCGAGAGTTAAGATTCAGTGGTGTGTATCAGCTGTCCCTCATCTCTCTCTGCTCACCACAATTTTCCTCCGCTCTGACCAGGGTCAGTCCCAGAAGATGTGAGTGAGAGAAGGCTGTTGACAGATGGAGCAGCATTTTCTTGCAGCAGAGTTTATTGCTGTGCTGCCTAAGAGATTTTGACAGAGACTTTTCTTATGAAAATAAATATACCTGTCCAACTGCATACTGCTTGCTGGCTTAATGAAAATGTAGATGCCTGAGTTGATCCTGAAGTCAGCTAGGAAAACAGAGCAAAAACAGTGGCTGCTATTGACAAATATTTACTGAAGAAATGAAAGCCTTTTTCACTTCAGAGTGAAAAGGCAACTGCTTTCCTGTATCAGCCCAATTTTCCCTGGACAGTGGCCTGATCCTGAGCTACTACTGTTGGGACATACCCAGAGCAGTGCTTCAAAGGCCACCAATGACACGGTTGTTAGACCTAGCATTGAAGTACACCAAATGAGCTACCAGAGAGAGGAGGTAAAATGAGCCTACCCTCAATAGAAAAAGCATCTTTATTTTCTTTTTGTTTAACTTAGTATTCCACCTCCTTTGGGGCTATCATTTAGTATTCAACTGGTGTTAGACTGCTAAGTGTCTTACATACATTGCCACCTTCTAGGTAAGAAATATCATCCATCCAATATACAGATGTAGACACTTAGTCTTACAAAGATTATGTTGGCAAAATTCACAGTGCTAGCTAATGTATAACCTTGACTTGAACACAGATTTGCCTGATACAGAGAGCCTGTGCTCTCAGCCATCACGACATGATACCTTCCAGAACTATGCCCTTCTTTACCCAAAATCTAGAGCAGAGCCAATGCCAATATTTGTCATTTATGCTCATCTGGTGTTGAGCCTGTTTTCACCTTAAATTTGTTTTTTGCGTTTCAGCTTGCTCATCAGCTACTCTTGTCCACACTTCATTTATTGTACCTAGGGGAGGTGGCTGGCAGCTCTGTATTGCACTGGGTCTGTCTGGGTAAGAAACATGGGGAGAGACTGTACTGGAAGGCCAAGAAGTAACAACTGAACTTCTTTTCTGATGCAGGCTACGTGTCTGACCCCATGAGCCCCATGCATTTGTATTCTTGCCGGAACAGTGGCAGCTTTGAGGACAGCAGCTGACAGCACTTGGTATATACCTAAAGAAAGTTTCTCCCCAAACTGACAGCAGTGGTTCCAACCATGGCAGACTTGCTTTCAGTTATGATACTCTACCCTCTCAGGTCTCCTTCATTTGACTTGTTTATATATGTCTTGTTTAATTCTCTACTGTAAGTTGAACTTTGGGTCTGTGACTAAAGAATGAGATGCAAAAGAACTAAGAGTATACATGAATAATTGTTTTCAATTTTATTTAAAAATAAAACAAATTTATCTTATTATTTGGAGACGGGTCTTAAGTATAGACTAAGTCATGGAGATTTCTGTTTGAGAGTCATTGTTTGGATTTCTTAGAATCTTGATCCACTTTCTTATATGTTACTTCTGGAGCTGAGCTGTGTAATTAAAGATTCTTTGGTAACATGAAGAACTAATTTAAAAATGTATTTTATTTCCCAAGACTTCCACTGTGTATACCTTCTTTAAGACATATTAGTAGAGCAATTGTGACCATCACATCAATAAAGTTGCATTCAATTATTTTGTCTTCTTTCTATGTTATGCCAAGTACTCTGAGTTCTATTTAGACAACCTATCAATGTCCATACTGAGATGTCGTAAATATTATCAGATCAGTTATGAAACAAACTGATCTGATAACCTCTGCAAGGGTCCTAGAAACAATCCTTGGTGAATTTTGTGGGGTATCTCTTTCTCTGTCTCTATCTAGCTCTCTAGCTCTCTCTATTATATATATATATATATGCTATATATATGTATATATATATATATATATAATCTAGCTAATGTTATCTTTCATCTTAGTTCTATTGGCTATGTCAAGAGAACCTAAAAGAAAATCCCCTCCACAAATCATGACAAACAAAAATATCTCAAACTGTACATATGTACATGGCCTCACTGGTTTATAATCTCAACATTCACAGCAATTTCAGCACTGACTAAATAGCAAGACCAAATCAGAACAGAAGGAAGCAAGGAGCTAAGGAAAAAGGGAGGGAGGGAGGGGAGAGGGAGTGGGAGGGAAGGAAAGAAGGGTGAGGGTAAATGGAGGGGATGGGAAGGAACAAATAAGACAATAGTGCCCCTGAATGAGAACCAGAACTCTAAACCCAGAATGTATAATTTGTGACTGTAGAGCTTGCTATGGACTGGAGGCAATTAGGTACATCTGCGTTTTCTCCTCCCGGAGTAATATGGATTCATACAAGTGGAACAGTAGACCTGCTGATTGTTCCTTGGATATCTGTGCAAGCTTCCTGCTCCTACTGCCAATTGGAAATTATGCTTTTAAAGGGCAATTTCCATCAGGAGAACAGCAACCTTACCTCAATAACTCCTTTGAGCTTCTTATGACCTGTAGTTGCAAAGCTGCCAGACCCCACGTGCTCTGATGAACTCATGGATAGCCCAGCATATGTAGAAAGTAAAACCATGGTACTTTTGCTATTTCTAACGAGATTTATCTCTTTTCAGCCTCCAGTTTTTTTTTTCATTTTTGTACCCAATTACAGTTACAGATATTCTATCTTACCAAGCAAGTTCCCAAAAGGCTTATAGTATGTAAAACCAAGGAACCTGAGGGGACTTCTCAGGAATAAATCTTTCTGACAAAGATACAGGAGAAGAAAAGGGAAACTTAGTTTAAAAAAAAGTCTCCACTGGCTGTTAGTGGCTCACCCCTGTATTGCTAGCTAACCAGGAGTCAGAACCAGAGGTTGGGTTTCAATATCAGTCTGGGCATAAAAGTATATGATGATCCATTTCTAATTAACTAATCAAAAGCAGGCTTTGAAGCATACTACAGTGCTAGTTGACTGAGCAAGCCAAGCAAGCATAAGGCCCCGAATTCAAACCCAGAACAGCTGATAAATAAATAAAAATGAATTAATTTTTAAAATAACAGCAACAAAAATTTTGTCTCCTTTTCTCTATTTTAGTGAATAATTCAGTACCTAGACTAAGTTAGTCTGTGGCTTAATCCTTTCACATGTGTACTTAAAAGGAGTACCTTTGGAAAGGATTTGAGTTTGAACTGAAAATTTCACAGAGGGAGATAATACGTAAGGAAAAATGGGAAGAGAAATAGAGGAGAATGATGGAGGGATGGCATTGATCAAGATGAACTGTATTCACAGCCTGATATAGGGAATTGTAACCTCTGAATGACAGTGAAGATGATGATGATAATTATAACAACAATAATTATGTCACAGAATATACAATGTCAATTTAATCAGGACCATGGCCAGTTCCGGGGTAACACAAAAATCCTTCCAAGTTCCTGTTGGAAAAAAATCATATCCAGAGGGAAGATTGTTTGCTTCTGAAATGCTCTACCTTTAGAAGGGGGTTATCTAGAACAGATTTGTCAAGCTCTCTTTCTTTGTTTCCTCTAATTAGCCTCCTCCTTTCTGCAGTGCATTTCCTTAGGTTGCTGCTTCCCTCTGGCTCTTGTCTTGTCAAGTATCTGCAAATAATGAGACTAATGTGTCTTGATTCTTGAGAAGGGGAACCTTTTCACAGATGCCAACCTGTGGCTCAGAAACCCTTTTCATTACTGCATCCTTAATGGGGCCTAAGGATCATCTTAGAGCTTGTCTCATGACCATGAGATTTTAAAGAAATTTTTTTCTCTCCTTGCTGAAAAATGTCTCACTAATGACTTCCTTTTTCTGCTGGCAAAAATGAGCTTCTAAGATCATGTTTTTGCATGCTTAGCACATTAAAATTTTTTCCACCTGCATGCAGCTCTGAGTTCACTCCGAAGATGTTCAATTAATTATAATTGTAAGCCAAATTACAGCAGCACCAGGAGAGAGTTATTCCAACAGCATGATCATTTGGGTTAAATTATTTCCAAAGCTGACATTTCCCTAGAAAAGAGAAAAAGTGGGTACTTGTGAAAGGAGAAAAGGTTAATGCTAGAAAATTCATCCAGAGAGAAGTATCTTAGGATATTTCTTCCCTTCCTTAACTTCTTTTCCATTTTTATCCCTTCTTTATTCTCATCTTTTTTGTCCTTCCTTTCTTCCTAATTATTAATTCCTTTCTTCACTAATTGTTTTCCTTCCTATTTTCCTGCTTTCCTGACTTCTTTTGGTCCACTTTCCTGCCCAACTTCTTACTTTTTGTAATTCTTCACTCCTCCCTTAGACAGTAAACATTGATTCATTTCAACCTTCCATATTAGTTGTATGACCTTAAACAAGTCATTCTACCTTTATGAGCTCCAGTTTATGATCTGTAAGATAATGATAAAACAAATTTCCTTGTAGTGTTACTGCAAGGATTTCCAGTGACATAAAGTGTAGAATTTACTTTCTATAACACAAGAACAGATGCTAGTGTTTGTTACTGTTATACTATCAGCCATGCTCTCTTATAAAAGAGAACATTTGAAAGCTGAAGATCCTCTATCCTTGTGGTAATACCTTCAGTAGTAAAGTCTGATTTCACACGTGAAATAAAATCAGAATGAATAACATTCTTTCCAGCCAAATACATGAGCCAGGAAGAATCTCCCAAGTGAAATGAATGCTAAGTAAAACAGAGAGTACATTTACTGAGCACCTGCTATGTGGTAGGAAGTATTAGGTTATTTACAATGTATTATGTGACCTAATTTTCTAGGTAGCCCTGGAAAGGATTGATTTATCAAAATTTATTTTTCAAGTTGGAAATTCATGCTTAGAGAGGCAAAGTAACAAATCCAAGGTGCTACAGAAAAGAGCCAGATTTAAAAGCTGATGGTGTCTTCCACTAACAGTCATGATTTGGTCATTACATGATACTGCCTCTGCTATGATACAAGAAGGTAAAACACAGTATATCCTCACGGTCCAAAATTGTGATGAAATCAAATATATCTGCAGTTCTGAAATCCTGAGGAAAATTTGAGGACTGTCACAGTGACTATTAATATAAATCTTTCCTGATTGATATGACTCATTATTGTAAAAATAATTACTTCCAAATAATCATTGATTTCATTATGAAAGAGGTCTGGAATAATCTCAAGTCTCAAAAAGCATGCATTCTTATTTTCTAGGCAGAAAGAACCAGAAGTGATTGACAGGAAACAAGACTCTCCCCATGCTAAGCAGTAACAAAAGTTATGAGGGCAAAACACAGCAATTAGGAAAGCCAAGGAGTTTTACAATTTTTTTCCTTATTAGCACTCTGGTAGGGAAAGTGAAAAGAGATAGTGTAGCCTTAACTAGTAGGATTTGAATACATTATTTTTTCTGCGTTTTGTGCTGTTGCAGTTAGTCAGGCAAGCAGCCTGAAGAGCTACCCATGATCAATTCTTTTCTGTATTTCAAGAGCCACAAGGACAAAGATGCCATTTGACATTTGCAATCCATTCATTGGGTATCAGCTCAAGACTTGGTTTCAGCAATAACAGACTGTGGTCCAAGACTACCAGCTCAATTAGCACTCTAGGCAAATTATGATGGAGAAGCAAAATTCCTCTTTCTCCTTGGACATTTTACCTTTTATGAGACTAACGAGAAATAAAAAGAGCAGGGTTGCACATTTCTCCTCAGGCCAGAGATCTAAGGAGGTGTCATAGCTGACCCAGTGGCATGATGCTAATTAAATTAGACTTTTTGAATTAAGAATACTTAGAGGGATTCTAGGCCCAGTTGAGGACTCATCTTTAAAATACTCCCAGCCTAGATTTATGTTTAATTGGTGGGATTAAAGGAACATTACTGCATTTCCATCTTTTAAGCAATGGGCTACTAAGTAAAAGAAAGGTACCTTCACCATCTTTAAAGGTTTTTAATCTCAATCATTTCATTGGCATCTATTTCTTCTTTTATATAAGTTAAGCAAGAAAGAGTTAGATTGAAACAACCAATCAGGAGAAATTCAAATCAGGAGAAATTAAAATTGACCATCAAAAACAATAAAACAATTTGAATACTGGTTTGCCCCTCAGTTATTTTACTTATAAAAATCCATTATCTACTTAACACCAGCTCAAAAATTCT